GACTGGTTAAGGTCCACGATTTCGCCAGAAATAAGCTACAACTTACCAGTGGTAGAAGGTTATGAAGGTATGAAGGTTAGACTCGATCAAAAATCTACTTCCGTTAGCTTCAAGAAGGCGATGCAGTTTGGCTTTACCAACCAACCATAAGAAAAGGTCCAAGTCCCAAGTTGCAGCATCCCTGAGAGGGACCGTACCTGGTTACTAAGAAGATAAGATAAAGTCACGTTCAGATGGCAATGCTTTTATACATAATACCGCAGTTAATAGGGAAAAAATATGAAAAATATTCTACAGGTTTTTTAGATATAACAACAGGTCTAACTGATATCTAACAACAGGCACGTACTTTTGGCTTCAAACTTTCTACATTCTTTACTGAGAAAAGAATACCCCCGAAAAACAATTTTCAATCATCTTCATTTTCATAATCTAGTTCATCTTCAGAGTCATCGTTTAATGGAATTCTAATAGGTTCAATGTCATCTTAAATGTTGTCTACTGTCCAAAAATTATTCTCCAATTTTATAACATGGTTGACGTAATTTTTCCAATGTCCATTGTTCTGTACTTTATCATAACCTTCATAAATCAATGTTTTAACGTCGTTTTGTTTGAAACTTGAATTCTTAGAGGACACGTACCGTTTCACTTCACTCCACACCATTTCTATTGGGATCAGTTCACAGTGATAAGGCGGAAGTCTTAAGATATGTACATCTACGCGGCATTGTTCGTCACTGTGATTCCTGTATTTTTCACCAATACAATCAATTTTGTATTTGTCATAAATATTTTTAAATACATTAGCAGTTTCCAGAAGTTCATTTTTTAAGTAATCTTCTTCAAAATAAATGTCCTTTTCATAGAGCCACTCCTTAATTTGACGTTTCACCCAATATTGTTTGGGAAAATTTAATTTCCTAGAGTGATAAGATGCATTGTCCAAGATAATGACATTCTTTTTATTTTTTGGGAGATTCGGTATTAACATCTCTTCAAACCATTTTTCAAATAGATCTCCGTCCATCTCTTCATGGTAATCTTCAGCACCTTTTTTGGCAAGAAAAGTGATGTCAGCACCTTCAACAAATCCGTCTTTGTTTCCTGCATGGACTAAAACAAATCTTGGTCCTTTTCCGGTCGGAGTTTTTAAACCTGTGGTAAGTCCATTTACGAAAGCCTGTCTGCTATTTTTTATTGTTGTATCTTGCCATACTTGCCCATTGGTTATTCCAGTATTAACCCATGATTCGTCCATATAAATGATATTGGCTCCTTCGTTCCTCAGTTTCTTTATTTCCCGGAGATAGTGACGCCTCCAAGCGACTATTTCTTGTTTTTCTATTAATATTGAATTTCTACCTTGTTTGCCATATATAAAACCCATGTCGTACAATAGTCTTCTCAACGTACTCTTGGAAAAATTCGGAAGATGCTCCATTTACTTAATTTTTTCTAATACTACGTCAAGAGTTGGAGGAATATTGTCCATAAAAAAACCGTGCACTACTTGTCTTATTCTAGACCGAGTTGCTTCATCATATCTATTCTCACGACTTTTCAAATAACCGGCTCTTTTTTTTCTTATAGGAGTTACGAGTGGACCATTTTTACTTTCACTTCTATATCGGAATATCGTTCGCTCAGAGACTCCAGTCATAGCAGAAACTTCCCGCACTATTGTTGATACACTTTTATCATTATTACTGTTTGATAAATAGTTAAAAACATTTAACACTATTTTTTTGCATTCACTATTTAACAAATTACCGTTTTTGAATTTTATTACACTCGCGGCCATTTTGACACTGACACGACACAAACGTCTGATATCAACTGAAAATTCTTTTAATGACTTTCAAGTATTTACCTGAATTTATAATTGCTGGCATTAGACAATAATTTTGAATTTATAAATAGGTATATTTTTTTAATTCTAAATTATTTTTTAATGTCTGTAACTGTAAATGCAGGTAGAGAAAGTGTGCCATTAAAAGGACATTAAGATCAAAAACGGATTATACAAATAATTATTTCATTTCCACGAATTGTAAACAATTTTGAACAGAAGATATAATTCCGAAAAGACCAGATTTCCGAAATATAACTTTCTATTTTTAAAATACCAACAGAAAAATTATATAATTAAAAAAATGTAGTATTTTTCCGTTTCACATTCATAAATATTTCCGAAATTATAATTCTTTTATAGGAGCCGGCCCATAACGTACGATTGTAGGTACGATTAAAAACTGACAACAATGTAGTTATTTCTGGCATATAGAAAGTACAGGCCTATCTCTGTAACGCTGCCATCTGAATGTGAATTTATCTATAGAGAGATTGTGTCCTTATGAAGAGAAGAATCTAGCGACCTGGTCCATTTAGGTGCTGTTCGGGGTGAACAAACTGAAAGAAGTGAGCGATGTTGTGTAACTATAATTACGGTATTGTAATATTTCGAAAATTCTATCTGACATCCAATCAATACTTTACTAGCGATATTTTTCTGGAATTTCGGCTAGAAGCGCTTACTCGACTTTCAGTGTAATATACACGCAAAATCTAGAAGTTACGATCTAATTATTTAACGTTTGAAGTATAGTTTTACAATGCGACTAGCGAAGTATTTATCTTGTAAAGTGATATACGATAATTATTAATGAGACATAATTTGTTATTTATATAGTCAGTTAGTTGTTTTTTTTTTGTATTTGAGTGTTTAAATAAAATAAGTTAAACTACGTATTTCACATAATTCCTGAACCCACAGAAAACGTAACAATATTGTACCGAACTGGCTTATTTCGACGTAGGCCATATCACGGTTGCATCTCGAGACGACGATGATCTGCCTTCGAGAATCGTGAGCACGTATTGCGTGAGTAACTAGAAGAACGTGATGAAGACTGCAGTGGGTCCAAGAAGATCCTTCAATAACGACTGAAGGATGTTCTTAACAAGACTGGAGATGACCCAGAGACATTCCAGTTCCAATCCACAGAAGAAGCAGTTTTACCGAAAATAATTGATAGAAAATTCGAAAATGTATCTCAAATGATCAAAGAAAGTTCTAGAAAGAATGATGAAAATATTTCCAAAAGATTCGATGAAACCTTTCAAATTATTAAATAAGCAGCTAGACAAAACGACGAAAAATTTGAAAATGTTTCTATAATAAATTGATGATAAATTTGAAAATGTTTCTAGAAGATTCGATGAAAAATTTGAAATTTTTCTCAAATGATGCATGAAACTTCTAGAAAGAACAATGAGAAATTCGAAGAAGTTTCTGGGACATTCGATAAAGTAGAAGAGAAGATCAAACAGTTAGAAAGCATGATAACCAATACGAACGTGCTACCACCAGTTAATGCAGTAATTTTAGATCCTGTATTGAAAGAAAAATCACTTAGAGACGAAACGACACATCATATGAGATTCAAATTGCCACCTTTTGATGATATAAAGTCTTATTGGTTCATATGTCTTAGACAATTTGAAGCTATTGCGATTATTGGACAGAACAAGAAAAGGCTGTTTCCTTGACTGCTGCTATACGAAGTGATGCTACTGATATCCTAAGATCGATTCCTAAGGGCCAAGAAAAATACTATCAGACCTTATTCACTCGATTAGAGAAACGTTACGGAGATGCCCATCTACAACAAGTCTACCAGGCGCAACTAAGAAGTAGAATTCAACGAGCAAGTAAAAAATATGCAAGAGTTTGAAGCAGATGTTGCTCGTATAGTGCGGTTGGCTTATCTTGAGGTACCAGACAACTTTTTGGAAGAAATTGCTGTAGATAACTTCATCAGTGGATTAAAATACGGTGAACTACAAAAAGCTTTACGACTAGCAAGACCGAAAGTTTTAAATGAAACATTGCCTTGGAACATGAAACAACTAGTCAAGCTTCACGGAGCTATCAAGTACAAGCCTATAAAGAGAACGACGAACAAAACGATAAACGCCTGGAGGAAATCGTACGGAAAGTAGTTCGTAACACGATGCAGAAGAGATGCGAAAGCAAATGTTAGAATGGTGTCGATGTAGATCACATTCGCCGTAAATTGCAAGAAAATAAAACAACAGTCAGAAAGCTAGAACAGATCGAATACTGGGATGAAAAAAGTCATTCAAATGATGATGCTCGGTTAAGACAGCTATGCAGTGTAAATTCATTGTCTTAAAGTAGGAGAACGACTTTGCTCCGTGAGACGAACCACCGTCATTAATGATTAATGGCAGCCTCAACAGTTGCAAGACGCTCAATCAGATGATCCATGTATAAAAAGAGTATTGTATTGGATGCGTCGAAGTAAAAGACCTTCTTAGCAAGGCATTAGTACATGTAGTTCAGAAGTCAAGGGTTACTGGAGCCAATGGAATTGCCTAGTGCTAAAAGATGATCTTCTGTATAGAACCTTTGGGAACGATAATGGTACAGAAACAGCTTCAGTTGATTCTACCTAAAAGTAAAGTATCAAAAGTATTGCGTCAGTTGCATGACGGTGCATCAGGTGGACACTTTGGTATTACGAAGACTCTGCAAAAGGTTCGAGAACGGTTCTTTTGGGTGAACTGTCAAGAAGGTGTAAGAAGATGGTGCCGGAAATGTGAACTGTGTGCAACCAGTAATAGTCCAGTTAACCCAATACTCTAATAACCCAATAGCAAGTTTCATCTGTGCACTTTCCATTCTAGGTGTTTTGTCTGCAGTCTTTATAATAATAATAATTTAAGTAAATATGTTAAGGCTGAAACATAGAATTATTAATTTAATTTAAGGTATTACTTGCCTAATGATTCTTACAAAATTGCATCTGTCCTCCATTTTCAATGATTAGACGATTGAAAAGTAAAAACTATGAACACGTGTCTGAGTTCATTATGTAAAAATTTATTCATTAAAGTTTTAAGGTTCAGAATATGTAATTAACTAACACTGTATTTTAGATTTGTTTTGACAAAAGTTTTTTTTTACTCTTCAGACGTTCTCTTTTGATGAACATCAAAACACCACAGAAACGGAAAAATGTATAGAATTTTGGAAAGCAGTCATGGAAAGAAACTTACAGCCTATAAAAGCAAATATAATACGAGAAACAGTAGACTCACATCGTACAGATTCAGATCTAACACATGATAAAAAGAATCGAGAAATAGAAGAAGCAGTGAAAATGGCAACTGATAATATACACGCAGAATACAGAGCACTTTGGACATCTCTTATAAAAGAAATTAAAGCCAATAAATTGGAACAAGTAAAAGTAAGTCAGAATAACAGGAAATAATTATAATAATTTTATTCTATCTTCTTCTTCACGTGCCATATCAGAATTATCCAACGTTTGCGATCACCATTGCGAAGGCTTCTCGATCTTCTGCAATATTAAATAATTGTCCTGCATTTGATGTCTGAGTCCATTCACGAATGTTTTTTAACCAAGAAACTTGTTTTCTTTCTACACCTCTACGATCCTCTATTTTACCTTTAAGGGTCAGTTGTAATATTTTATATCGACTTCCCCTTACTATATGTCCCAGATAAGACATTTTTTGTTGTTTAACAGTCTTAATTTATTGTATATATATATATATATATATATATATATATATATATATATATATATATATATATATATTATATATATATATACATATAATATATATAGTGTTCTATATTCATCCATTTGCTTTTTGTTTACAAATTATCATTAATTCATCAAATAGTCATGACTTACCCGATCAAACGCCTTTTCATAAACCACAAAACAAGCCGGAACGTCTTTGTTTACATTTAAACAGCCGTATAATAATACATTTAAGCTAAATAAATATCAATACTCTGGCTTTTGCTTCTGACACTATTTACTACTGTTATATACTGGGGCGTTCCGCTGTCACCACTGTAACATCTTCGATATGAACCTTAAGGATGCTTATCCCTGCGAGCGGTTGCAAGGCTACTGGTCCCACTGGTCTGAAATTACTGGTTCGCCTTCGTGGATTTACGAGAAGGTAAGGAACTTCGGGATTGGGGTTAAGGACTTCTAGGTCTCAAGTCCTGTAAAGAGGTTGAGTCTATTGGCTTACTTTAGAAGCCAGATAAATGTATAGGCCGAGATTTGGTACTCTCCTGGTCTCTGTCTAAATCAGCCGGAAGGAACATAAACCAAATTTAGAGTCTAGAAATGTATTGAGTATACTATGTGGTTTACAATTAAGTTAACAAGCTGTCAGATAAAATCAATAATAACTCGTTCGGCGCGAAGGGAGGCAAGAAGAGATCTTAGCAAGAAAGTAAAGGGATGACAATCTGTACTACTATAATTCACTCGGGTTAGTATATAGAATTTTGTTACCTTTCACGTATTTAGGCTCTAGCTAATGATACGCCCTTCAGTTCCTCTGGAAATCGGATTTCTTTCAGTACCCGACACTTATACGGAACTATATCCCGTCAAAATATAACAACCGCGCGTAATCCGCACCTGGTGTCGCCTCTCGCCTTGACAGCCCCGCCCGAAGATACTGACTGACTCACTATTACTGACAGCGTACTTAACGCTATCGCGTCCGACCCGGAGCCGGCGATCACTGCCTGAGCGGACAGTCACGGTGCCCAGCTATTACTGACTGCCTGGTTGACCAATTTTTTTAGTTTTTATGTCCCGCGAACATTCCTAGTTTATTTTGCTGAGTCCTCATCATTTAAACCAGGTCGGCGCTGTTAATATTTTTCAGCGTAGGTCTATGTTTATTAAAACGTGACTATTTTCTTTTTTGAACAATTGTTGCAACTGATACTGGCTCGTGTCATGCAACTAACTGGGCCAAATTGTTTTTACTTTGTATAGATTAACATGTATACGTTACTGTATCAAATTTATTCTTTATTTAATTTGGAATATATAATAATTATTTTGAATAAATATTATCTTCAGTATGCTACTTATCGCTTATTTTTTTCTATTCTTTATTTTCTTGCTATGTTTACATTACACTACTTCTTTTAGTCTCTTTATATTTTCCTGTATTATCAATCTGAGCATTTCATATCGCTATTCCCCATTACATGTCCTAGATATTGTTGCTTTCTTATTTTTAGTGTGTTTATTATTTCATACTCTAAGCATCTCGATTTCAATTTCTGTGCTAGATTAGGTTTGGTTAGGCTATCTATTACATTGTTTGTTCTTTGATTCCAGCAAAGGTCTGTTATTATTCTTAAGTATCTTTTGTTGGTTTTTTTTTCTGTAGAATATTGATTAATTTTTCTTATCTTACTTTGTCGGATACTTTCTCAGAAACGAACGTAACAAACACGCACTTCCCCATTAATATCCATGCATTTTTGAGCTATATAGCTAAGTGTATATTGTTTATTAGTTTTATGTATATTTATTTATATTATTTATTATTTTAGAAAAGCGTCAAAGCACGATGTCAAATATGTAACTATTCAGATATTCAATTAGATGATCAAACTAGTAATGTTAAAAAGAAATCAACTAAAAAAACTGAAGCAATAACTAAATTGGCCCCAGTAGAACAAAAGGAAAAATACTATGGTAAGTATTTGCACATATCTAATAAGTATTTAATCTAATAAGTATTTAATTGACTTTTTTGTTGACTTGTTCCATACCTTTTCATATTGAAGTTTCCGTAACAGAAGAATTTTTACAGGAGGGGGGTGTTAACCCACTGCCAAACCCCCAACCTGGAAGACCAGTTCACTTGCTCTTGTTAGTTACCGACCCAACCTTCCACCCGGGTTGGATACCGGATCTCCAGTTGGGTTGCTCGGCTTAACAGGGGACACCAACGTGAAGGTGAGAGTCGGATTTGAGTAGAAGAGGCTAAGTGGAGTAAACTGGAATCAACTTCATGTTTTTGCATCCTACTCCTTTGTCATGTAATTAGGCGAGATGAAGATGCAACGATCAGAAAAAATTTCGACAGAAAAGGACCAGTGGGAAGACGATCCAGAGGAAGACCAAACCAAAACTTAGGTATTAAGATAACATGGAGGATGATATAAAATCCATCGGAGTTAAAGCATGGAAAAGAGTTGCCAGAGACAGGGGCGAATGGAAGATTGTTCTGAAGAAGGCTTTGGCTCATAACGAGCTATAATGCCACTGATTATGATGACCTTTTTATATTGAACCGGCCTTTTTTTCGTTTCCTAGCAGTTCCTGAATCACAACTGAGTATTACTAATTATCTCTTCTAATATCCTGCATATTTTACTATGTATTATTTGCATGAGCATCTTCAGAACGTCGGTAACTTACGAGACTTATTGTTCGGTAATTGATACACTAACATGTTCGGTAACAAAGATACTGAGCGTATAAATTATATTATTTCTCATTTTCTCTTCCACTCTCTACATATCTGAAGAAATGTTAAAAGGTATGTACTCACTGACTGTTTTATTGACTACCAACAGTACCAAAGTGTCTGCATTATAGATCTCTATTAGATTATAGATCCTACGACTCCTAATTCCAACTTTTAAAATTACCCCAAGGTAGAGGTTGAACAACATGAAAGATAAAACGCTACGTTTTCCCCAATCCTTATTATGTGTATTCATTAACTCTGTAGACTTGAGGTATATCAAACCCAATCATCACTCAATACTTATTAAACTATTTTTATAAAATTATTCTAGCTTTACCTCGATCCAAACAGAAAAAGGTAACTGATGTAAAGGAAAAAAAGGAGTTAAAAAAATCCTGCGTAACAAAAAGTGGTGATTGTGATTGCACCGAAAAGGAATGTAAATGTCCCTATCCATACGTATTACAACCTAAACCAGATGCTTACAAAGGTATATTATATTTTTTAGATAACGTAATGGTTATTTTAATTTATTTTAAAGAGTTCTTAACCGTTCTTCTTCTTAAAGTGCGGTCTCTCTACGGAGGTTGGCAATCATAATGGCTATTTTTATTTTATAACTTGCTGCTCTAAACAAATCAATCGATCTGCATTGATACCAATCACGTAGATTATTTAACCATGAGTTCTGCCTTCGGCCAACAGATCTTCTTCCTTGAATCTTTCCCTGTATTATGAGTCTCAAAATTTCATATTTTGGTCCCCTCATCACCTGGCCTAGGTATTCCAGTTTTCTGGTTTGTATAGTGGTGGTTAGTTCTGTTTCTTTACCAACCCTCTCCAGTACTTCTTTATTTGTAATTCTATCAGTCCATGATATTTTCAATACTGTGCGGTATAACCAGAGTTCAAAGGTCTCGATTCTTTTTAAATTACATTTTTTTAATGTCCAAGTCTCAGCTCCTTATAATAATATTGAAAATATATAACAGCGAATGGTATGTAATCTGATCTTTAAATTTAGATTTTTGCACGTTAGGAGTGTATTCATTCGTATAAATGCTGATCTGGCAATCTCTATTCGCCTGTTTATTTCTACAGTATGATCATTGGTTTCATTGATCAAAGATCCCAAGTACTGATATTTTTCTACTTGTTATATCACGTTACCATTGATTGTCAATAGGTGATGTATATTTTGTGGTGTTTTTGTAATTAGCATGTACTTCGTATGTTTAGCGTTTATAGTAATTCGTATCTCAGCACTATTCATACTCAAGCTTTCGATAAGATGTTGTAGATCCTCTATACTCGTTGCTATGATCACAGTGTCGCCTGCATATCTTAAGTTGCTAATTAATTTTCCGTTAACGGTGACTCCCACTTCGATATTATTGAGCGTGTTTTGGAAAATTCCTTCAGAATATTAATTAAACAAAAGTGGTGATAAAACACATCCTTGTCTAACTCCTCTACAGATCCTCATTTCTTCTGAGTGTTGCCCATCAATTTGAACTATGGCACTTTGGTTCCAATATAATGTTTGCACTATATTTATGATTTTACTGTCAATGCGCTTGTTCATAAGTATTGATATTAGTTTTTCATGTCTTACTTTATCAAAAGCTTTTTCGTAGTCAACGAAGCACAAGTGTAGATCAACATTTACATCCCGACATCGCTGAATCAATATGTTGATGGCAAACAGTCCTTCTCGAGTACCCATTCCATTTCGGAACCCGAACTGCGACTCACTAATATCCTCCTCTAGTCTTTCGTATATTCACTTATGTATTATTTTTAGCAGAACTTTTAAAGTATGACTCAAGAGCCTCAGAGTTCGATAATCAGAGCACTCTTTTATTGCTTGTTTTTTAGGGATGGTTATAAATGCTGACTTCAGCCAGTCTTGTGGAATTATTCCCGTATCATACACCGTTTTGAATAAATCTGCCAATACTTCCAAGTTATCCTCTTTCACTAGTTTTAACAGTTCTACTGGTATTTCATCTAATCCAGCTGCCTTATTGTCTTTAGAGTTTTTGATAGCATATTTGATTTCATCTATCGTGATCTTCTGTCTCTTTAAAGGATTTAATTCTTGTATTTTCTGCATTTCACCTCTTTTATCTTGGGAAAAGCTCTCTTACGTACTCCTCCCATCGCCTTAACTTATCTGGTAAATCTATTAGTAGTACTCCTCTTTTGTCTTTTATGTGTCCTTGCTGTCTACTTCGACCCATTTTAGTCACTTCTCTAATTTTTTTGTGCATATTTCTCATATTATATGTTGTTTCTAGTTCTTCTATCCTTTACATTGCTTCACCAAATGGATTTCCTTAGCTTTGTTGATTTTTTCCTTAATTATTTGTTGTATTTCTTTATACTTCTGTAGATCTTTTCCTTTATGTTTCCTTCTTTCTTTCGTCAGTAATAGTATTTCTTCTGTCATCCAGTGTTTTTTAGCCTCTGACCTATGTTGTATTAAAGTTTCTTGAGCTGGTTTCAATAATGTGTTTTTATATTATACCACTTTTTATTTATATCCATAATTTGTTTGTTCTTAACCGTACAAATTTATATTTTCGACTGCCTTCTACAATTTAATTTTATCGTACGGCCGTAGCGCCCTCCATGGTATTTGGAGCTTCCTGACGCTCTACGACCGGCACTCTGGAGGAGGATCGTAAGTTTTTCGAGTCCATCCTCGTGTTCGTGGAGTTTAATGCGAATCGAGCTTCTACGTTGGGAGAAGTTTTGTCGGGCCTTCTCATACATTGGTGTTAAGGTCTGTTGCAAGTACTTATTTTGATAAATCACATCATCTATATCAAAATAAATCTCCTTCAATTGCTTCTGTCTTCCCATACACTGTTGTTAAGATTTATTGTAAGTACTCATTTTAATAAATCATATCAATCATCTAATTTTGTCAAACATATCCTTGCCATGATCTTGGCATTTTTCTGTTTTCCATATGCTTTTTATCAGTTTCTGCAGCTTTTTATGTTGCCTTTTCTCTTTGGATTTTATTATTTCAGCTGGTATTTCTGTTATTTACATGCTTTTATTGTTTATTATACTCCCTTTATTTCATTTTATCAGATAAACAACAAGGATTCAGATCCGGAAGATCCTGCGTAGATGCCGTATTTGTACGACAAATCACAAAAAAAGGCCATCGAGTACAATAAACCAACATATCTATGATTTATAGATCTGACAAAGGCCTTTGGATCGTATCCAAGTCGAAGACGTCTTACACCTACTGTATAAAAGAAACACCAATCAATATTATACAAACCATCGAAAACATCTACTTTCATAATCGAATACAGGCAAAGATAAATGGAAAACTTTCATTTATTGGAAATTTCCAATAAATGGAAATGTATATGGTGTATACAGTACAAAGTGGAGTCAAACAAGATGACTCGTTCAGCCAACTTCTCTTTAATACAGTAATGGGTGAAATAATACAAGCAGTACGTAAATGTCATGGTTACAAATTTAGGAACAAAGAAATCCAAATATTATGTTATGCAGACGACGCCGCATTAATCGCCGAGACAGAAGACGAGCTTCAAAGATTACCACACATAAAATCGAAATTGTTGGGAAAATAATAAAGCAGGAAGCAAGGTTTAGATATCTGGATATAGATATAACTAGCTACGGAGATGTTGAAGAAGAAGTACGACAACAAAGCATAAAAGCAGGTAAAGCGGCGGGATCGCTTAATGACACAATATGTAAGAACAAACACCTAAGACAAGATACAAAAACAAGAATCTATAAAGCAGCAATTAAACCTATATTAACATACACGTCGGAGACAAGACCTGACACTTCTAAAATGAGACGACTACTAGAAATAACAGAGATGAAAATACTTCGACGAATATCAGGGAAAAGTCTGTTGGAGAGAGAGAAAAGTGAAAACATAAGAAGAGCATGCACTACAGAAGACATAAATAGATGGGTGACAAAACGGAAACAGGAGTGGAACGAACATAGGATAGTACAAAAAAATCATTATATGAAAAAGAAGGAAGAAGAAAAAGATATCATTTTTTATTTCTTTTTTTTGTAGGTATTTCTATTTCTATGTGATTATCTTCAATTTCATGAGTTGTTCTCCTTCCTTCTTCCTACGTTTTTCTTTAACAATTGTGTAAAGTAAGTTTGCCAAATTCTTATTATTTTCGCTGGTTTATTAAGTAATATTTCCAATCAATTTCTTGTGTCAAATGAGTGGATGACACAAGAAATTCTAGACCTGATGGAAGTTCGACGGCAACACAAAAATAGAAATATTATCGAATACCGTGAAATCAATAAACGCATAAAAAGAAAAATTAAGCAAGCCAAAGAATCCTGGCTTGAGAATTTATGTAAAGAAATAGAAGACCTCCAAAAAAAGCATGACAGTTTCAACCTCCACAAGAAACATAAATATACTGCCGGACTTAGAAAACAGAAAAATGCTCACATACTTAAAAGCGCGGATGAAAAAACTTGTGATCACGAACAATAGTGCAAAGAATGGGAGAGATACATCACTGACCTTTTTGACGATGCTTCTAGAGAAAATGCTCCAAATACTGCCTGTGACAACCAGTTAGACAGAGGTCCCAGTATACTGAATTCGGAAGTCAAAAAGGCAATACAGCAAGCCAAAAAACAATAAAGCACCTGGACCAGATTAAATCTCTGCTGAGCTACTTAAACTTTTTAATGAGGAAAGCATTGCCTACTTAACCACTTTCTTCAACAAGATTTACAACTAAGGAAAAATAATAGATGATTGGTTAGAGTCACTGTTTATAACATTACCAAAGAAAAGCAGGCCCACCAAATGCAGCGATTTTAGACTAATCACTTTGATGAGTCACACACTGAAGGTACTCTTACGAATTATACAAAACCGAGTATTCCTTCTATGCGAAAGTAGGATGGGTAATAAGAAATTTGGATTTAGAAACGGTCTAGGAACTAGGGAAGGCACTATTCTGTATGCGCGTTCTATTACAAAAAAGTTGAGAATTCCGAAAGAATGTTTATGTTTGTTTCATCGACTTCGAGAAGGCGTTCGACAGAGTACAACACGATACACTTTTCGATTGCCTTCGGGCAGCAGAACTTGACCACTATGATGTAAGACTGCTGAAATACTTATATTACAATCAAGTAGCCTCTATCCAAATTGGAGACAGTCCGACTAAAAAACTATCCATCAAACGTGGAGTACGGCAGGGTTGTGTTTTGTCACCCACTCTTTTTAATCTGGACTCTGAAGAAATCTTTAGGGAGGCTTTGGATGACAGACACGAGGGAGTAAGACTAGGTGGAGAAGTAATCAACAATAGTAGATACGCTGACGATACAGCAATTCTTGAAGAAAATTTACAAGATCTCCAAACATTACCAAATTTTTACGTGAAGAAAGTTATCGGAAAGGCCTTAAAATCAACATTTCAAAGACAAAGTGGATGGCAGTTGGAAAGATCAATATAGATCAAGGTCTGATTTCTCTTAATGGAGAGGAGATCGAAAGGGTAAATCATTTCAAATACCTTGGCAGCTGATTAAATGTAAAATGTGACTCTAATGAAGAGGTAATAACCAGGATCGAAATATCACGTAAGGCTTTTATGACGTGGAAACCAGTTTTATGCAACAGAAACCTGTCCATGAATATTCGTAAGAAGGTCCTGAAATGGTATGTGTGGTCCATCCTATTGTATGGTTGTGAGACATGGACGTTAAAAACCACAATGCTAAAGAAGTTAGAAGCATTCGAATTGTGGTGCTATAGACGAATCCTAAAGATATCGTGGGTTTCGCACACTTCCAATGAAGATTTTCTTCAAATGATTAATTCAGAACGTCTGCTCATAAACACCATAGAGAGTAGAAAAACAGAATACTTCGGCAATACAATTAGAGGACCTAAATACTAAACTTTCATGGCTGCGTAATATTAGACAATGGTGTGGTTCCACAGAAGAAGAATTATTTCGCGCAGCAGCCGACAGAGAAAGGTTTCAGGAAATTGTAAACATGATGACGGTCAACGTCTGAATACGGACACGGCACCCAAAGAAGAGAAGATTAAGTAATACTCCTTCATTGTTTTCATGTATGGGTTATTTTCCTGACATCCTCTTTCTGTTTCCTCTGTTTCTATTTTAATGTAAAATTTGGAAACGTAAACACAAACATCTTTAATTTAAAGGAGTACGTAGTTTGTTCCCATTAAACATAGAACTTAATAGTTAACCTCGAGAAAATAATTTCAGAACCCTATTAATATATTTTTTATATAGAAAAACAAGCTCCAACATCTAAAGATAGAGATAAAATAAAAGACGCAGTATGTCACTGCTGCCAAGCTGATTTATCTAACTCAGACGAAGAATTGGAAGTTATTGCAATCGATTTAAATAACGATATGAAAGAACAAGTACCATCAGACAACGAATTAATTCAAAAACAAGATTTAAGTACTGAAGTATACAAAAAAGAAATAGAAATAGATGGAGAAAGAGAAGATTCAGGAGAAATAGATGGCGATATTTTAATAATCCAAGCAGAATCGTTATCGACTGAGTCAGTGAAGTCCACAGTGGATTTGTAAGTATTTTTAATATGAGAATTGTTTTGTTTTTATCTAATAAAATCCTTGAAAGTTTCTATGCAACAAAAAATAATCGCAGAGAACAATGGTATTCAGAAACTGTAATTAAGGGTAATTAATGATAAAAATATCGGTAAAAATATTGGGTTTTAACGTTATAAACTAAAAAAGATAGTGAATAAATAAAATAATATTTGAGGGGGTTAGAAGTAAAAGGGTGTAAGTACACTTTTTTTAAAATATGGTCCAAGTACAGATTCGCATAGTTAAATGCTTAGAGTAGGGAATTTTACACGCCAAAACGTGTAAAATTCTCTACTCTAAGCTCGTCTTGGTATTATAACTTGGTGATAAAATGATTCAAGCATATTTCACCATACAGTCGCCATCTATCGCCATTACATTTTATTTAATGAAAACAATTACAAAATTAAACAATCATGATGTTTCCAAAGTATCAGAGCCATTATTCGAGAAAAGAAAATTTCAATACTAAATACCTTTCTGGCGATTTGAATATTAGTAAGATGTATAATCTATATAAAGAATTTTGTAATGAACAACATGAAGAACCTGTGTAAGATATTATCAATTTATCTTCAACACAGAGTTCAATTTGAAATTTCACAAGCCTTATAGTGATACATGTAGTCGCTGTGACAATTTTCAAAACTTGATAAAATATTCTGAAAATGAACCATTTCAAATGCTAAACGGCATTTCGATAGGAGACTAAAAACTGACTGAAATTGGGCCTTGCTATTTCTTTTTACAACTTCTGGAAAACCTAATTAATTTTTGGGGAGAGATATACGATTATGTTCATAGTATTGGTTCCCATGAGAATATCTTACTACTTTTAACTTTAATTATAAGTTTAACACTTAAATGTAGTTTAGACAAGGGGATGGACACCTGCACGTTCATGGAAACATATAAACACCTATACAGTACATAAATCGCCCAGCTGGACATAGGTAATATACATTGAGGTAATTGCGGCAACTACGCTTTCTTAAGCCCACTGCTGTTGTAAAGAATTGGAAAATCATACAATTCCAGCGGCGTGCTTATTTCATTATTTTTTTAGAATTATAATTATAAATAAATTCTATCATTATGTCTCTGTTAGTGTCTTGGACGTTCTGTGAATTTCGTAATTACCCGATCTTACCTTACTATTATGGGAATATAGGTACCTTCCTAACTCCCTACGAATAAAGCTTTTATCGGAATCAGTTTCTTAAATCCCCACATATTATTCTAAAACGATTCATATTATCTAAACACTGTTATCGACAAGCATATGTGCTGCGACGGCGAAGATAGTACTACCATGAAATTCATACTTGTCATTGTATTAATTTTTGTTGATTATTGAAAATTAATTGGTCTGAATAATATTTTAGTGGGAATTGTATAATCCGTAAATGATTATACAATCGACAAAAATGTTATTTAAAATATGCGACTAGTTTTTGCAATCAGTGTTCATCGTTGTTTTTATAGTATTGGCTATTAAATTTGTGTTCGATTGATTTGACTTCATAGTTTTTGTACTTATTCGGTTAATTAGTCTTTTATTTTGATTTTTAATTAAGACACAATATTAGGTTAAAGTAACAAGATTTCACATATATTTAATCAGCTTTTCGTAGAATAAAAATAGATATAAAATCACAACAGCTACGTAATGAATCCGTCTCAGAAGAGAGAAAACAAATTATTTGATAGGTAATATGATTAACTAAAAAACACTACCTTCAACTGAAGCTGTTCGTCGCTTTTCTTTTTTAACCGAAGTATCAGTGGCAATAATTGAACGTATTGTGCGTAATAAAAAACTAACAAATGGTTTTAAACCTCCAGCTGCAAATTAGCGCTGAGAAAAACCTATTAAGTTGGATGACGCAAAAAAAAATCCTCCGCAGAACTGTACATTTATTATTCTTTAAAAATAGGGATCCAACTCTCAAATCTACGTAAATTATTATGAAGATCTTAACTCTCGATATACGAAACATATCGAAATTCCATGTTAACAGATGAAGAAGAAATTATATCATGGCTACTTAATTCTCTACGCTCAATTGGGAAATATCGTCCGGCAAAACGAAAAATTTATTACCTCGACAAGGCTTTAGTTAACGCTGGACATACAGTTGCCAAAGTTTTACAAGACACAACAGTAACAAATGCACCAATTTGACAAGATTGCGAGCGCTGTCAGGAAAGGACGCAGCGTCTAACTGTAGCTCATATTTTTTTCTGCAGGTTCTTTCATTCTTTCGAGGTTTTCTGCAAAATGATGTTCTTGTTTTTATATCGAAGAAAACTGGGGACTGTCATGAAGACATGAACTCCATATGATTCGAGAAGAGGTTCCAGAACATTCTCCAGTGTGCTGTTCCTCAAAAAACATCAATTCCTTACTGATGCTACAACTATACGCATTTCTTAGTCCCTGTCAGGAATTTAGCCATCTTTTTTACAACAAAGGGACAGTGGTTATTTAAATAAATTCCTTGTGCTGACGATTGTGTTCAGTTATGCCAATTGATATTTTTTATATTTACAACCTCAGCAACAACTTTTACGTGTCTCTTTTAGGTCCCAACTTGATACTAGCGATGTGAGAAAAGTATCAATGATTTTGCCTACCGGAGAAGTAGAAGTTATTGAAAGACAGAAGGTCGACGATTGGGCTTGGGAAAAACCGAAAATAAAACGTAAAGGTCTAGCAACGCCTAAAGATTCATTTGCGTTATTGCAGCACCAGCATCTATTAAAAGAAGGTAGTAAAGTCTTAGATCCAAATTATTTTAAATCCAGTAGTGCAACGTAAGTAAAAGAAAAATAATGCTTAATTATAAATATTGTAAACTTGATAATGGTTAGCTATCTTTCGTGACAATTCTAAAAACTGCTACTTAATCGTATGTATAGTACTATATATCTAGGGTGCTCGGTAAAAAGAGTATAAGTAAAAAATGGTCAAAATATTATTTTTGCCGAATAAAATTATAAAAGTCAACGGGGCGGACTGTAGTCTTTAAGTAACTTTCAATTGTTTTCAATCTACTACTGGGTGACAGCAGTATTATGTTCCGCGTCTGAGCAACGATTTTTGGTGACAGCTTTATAAAACTCGTTTGATTTATTATATGTTCAGATCGAGCACATTATAGCTAAATTTATTGCGTATAGTGGAATAACTAGCCGCACTGCCGCGTAATAACTGCCGCACTATAGCCCTGATCTCCCACGCAAGTAAAGTTCTGCTAACTATAATTAACGAGAGATTAAAATCAATACTTCTACCACAAATTCCACAAAAACAATGTTGATTTGTCCCAGAAAAAGGCACACGAGAACAAATTCCCAATCTCAGACAAATTATAGAACAATCTAAAGAATTTAATCTAGAAACATATTTGTGCTTCGTCGACTACTCGAAAACATTCGATAATGTAAAGTGGCATAAAATGTGGGGAATACTGAAAGAAATGAGTACCCCGGAACATCTAATATACCTACTGAAACAACTGTATATCAACAACACAGCAAACGTAACACGAGTTAAAAATATATACTTCGATAATTTTAAACTAAAAGCCGGTGTTTGTCGAGGATGTAATATCTCTCCCACGTTATTCAATATATATAGCGAACATCATGCGCATTGTATCCGACGGATGGCAAGGAGGAATATCAGTCGGAGGCTGAAAAATCAGCAATCTCCGCTATGCTGACGACAGTGTAGTACTAGCGTCATCAACAAATAACCTTGAATACATCATGAACAGACTAGATACTATTAGTCGTGAATATGGACTTAAAATTAATGTACAGAAAACCAAGATAATGATAATCGATTGAATTAGAAATAACCAGCCGGAAATACGAAACGTAGCAGGGTTTGAAGTGGTAAGCCGTTTCAATTACTTAGATTCTGTTATCACAAACAATGGTGGATGCGAAGAAGAGATACGTCGACGCCTTACAATGGAAATATCAGCAACGGTTAAACTTACTTAAATCTGGAAAGATACGGACATAACCAGGAATACGAAACTGCGCTTAGTACGGACGCTTATCTTTCCTATCGCTACCTATGCGTCATAAACTTGGACCATTAAAAAATTCCGACCAAGACGTATAATGGACTTTGGAGGTACTTTGGACACATTACCAGAAGAATGGAAGGCATGGAGAGGTTGGTGGTTGAAAGCAAGGTATATTGTAAAAGAGCTCGAGGAAGATCGCTACTTCGATGGTCAGGCCAAATAAAGTGCGCTACCGGTTACTCTCTGTCTGAGGCAGCACACCGCGCCCAGGAGAGAGAAGAATGGATATCAACCATTCGTCAAACACCATAACGTCACCACATCCTTACGAAAGATAAAGGATAGAGGAGGAGGAGATCCAAATTAATGATTATCATTGGTAAGCATGCCAACTGTCCCTTGTTTAATTATATAAACATTTCTTTATCTTTATATGTTACTTCAAAAAATTAATGTAATCTACTGCAAGTAGATTCCTTTGGACCAATAAAGAATGAACAACGCCACCTTTCATCGACAACGGAAGGACTGTGACTCTAAGTAGGTTGTATCTGGTGTTGCCAATCAATAAATCGAAGGCATTTAAAATTATACATTGGTCATTTCAACATATTATCTCCAGCATCATTTTTAGTCGCAAAACTATCATTTTAGTCCTCCATATATCTAAACCATTAATATATAGGAGATTAATTAATCCATATCTGTCAGCTGCGTGCATATGTTTCCATTTATTATTTTTTTATTTCACGCTACTTAATTTTTATTGTTCAACGTTTTTTAGAGCAAATACAAAATTATCTTATAAGTTGCCATCGGGAAAAATAGAAGTATTAGAAAGAGAATACGTGGAAGATACAGATTGGGAAATGCCAAAAAATTATTGTAAATATCCCAGGTCAATTTTGGCATCTGTTCCGTCACTTGAAATTTTTAAGACAAGAATGTCCAAGTCAAAGAGTTATTCCAATAGATCCGCTGACGATTTAAAACCGATTTTAAAAAATTCTAAAACTATATTTCAATCCGTACATTATAATTCTGAGAATAGCAGAAGTGAGTTATATATAAAAAGTCCAAGACCATCGACAGCTTCTAGTGATTCAGGTAAATAGTTATAATAGACTCTATAAAAAGTTTAGATAGGATTGAAAAATTCTGAAAAATTCTGACGGTAAAGAGGGTGAGGAAGCACTAGTATATTGAATTATCATTCTAATCGAGTATAATCGGTTCACAATTTGTCGATAGCTAACTACAAGTTTAACCTCAATTAGAGAACTGAAATACAGAGAGGATAGGTAATACGATATAATAGTAAAAAGCAACCTGAAACTGACGGTTTAAGATGTTTTCGACTAACCCACCTTGTATCTAAAGAAATACAATACAGCAATCAATTTTATAATCCGATTACGAAGATATTTTGGTTACAGGTGACCGACCACTGTCTAGAGTATATGATTGAAACATTTATTTGAACTAAATAAATATATTTTTTAAATTGTATTTGTGTAAATTGTATTTTTGTTTTAATAAAACTTCTTTATTTTATTCAAAAATAAAAAGTTTCTTGCCATTTGTAAAAGATACATTTATTTAATTAAGGGGAAAGGTGCCAAATGTCGCCTGGAAACATTTTCCATGTGTTTTAAATGTATCCAATATTTTCGAATCCGAAGAAAACTAATAAATATGTTTGAAAAATTTAAACGCAGAATGAAAGATTACATTATTACTGAGGGCAGAAAGTCCCTGAAAACTTCTTCAATGTTTATTTTAATAGGTTATGTAACAGGGGTGAACATAAAAGGGAAAATATAGTATAATTTTTAATTGAAAATATTGCATGCAAAAGAAACTTTTTATTTATTCTAATAAATATTTCATTCTGCCTTTAAATTTTTCAAAATTTTTTTTAGTTTTCTCAGAATTTGAAAAAAAAATGGATACATTTAAAACACATTGAACATTTTGACATGCGACAGTTTGCGCCTTTCCCCTTTAATACCTTACGATTACAACTACTATTACTTACCTTATATAATTACGATTAGAAAACTATTCAAATTCAAAATAAATAGGATCAACTTCGGAATCCGAGTCGTCTTGAGGGTTAATAATTAGCGGTTGTGTCTCTAAGGTCGCATCAATTATGTTATCAAGATCTCACATTTTTTGTTCATCTTCTATTACATGTCTTACAGCACCTTTCCAGTTTCGTTCTGTAATATGTTGTAAAGACTCGTATAACAATTCACGTTTTATATGGCGTATTTTTTCTAGCCACATAACTTTTCATTTGTGCCCAAATGAGTTCAATTGGATTTATTTCGCAGTGGTAGGGTGAAAGTCTAAGTACTGAGATGTTTCGCCTTTCCGCCATTTTGTCAACTAGGTATTTTTTGAACTTAGATTTGTATTGCCAGGCAATTTTTAAAAGTTCTACTTTTACCATTCCATCTTCGTAAGACAGATACCTATTCCGCAGTCAATCAAGAATATCCTGTTTCTTCCACGCAGTCGTTGGAAGTCTTTCGACTAGTCGTGAATGATAAGGTGCATTATATAATACTATAATTGAATTTGGTGGTATGTGTTCAATCATCTGCTCAAAATACTCTTCGTAAATATCAACTGTCATCTTCTCGTGATAGTCTTTTGTGCTATTGGACTGAAATTCCAACAAACCATGCTTAACAAATCCTTTTTCACTGCCAATGTGAGAAATTATTAATCTACTGCCTTTACCAGAAGGTGGGGAGATACCAGTAGAACAACCTTCCATAAAGGCTTGCCTGGAGCTTACCCACGAACCTGATGACCATGACCTGAGTTTACCCACGTTTTATCCTGGTAGAAGATTGGCCTTCCTTCAGCCCGAAATTTTTGTATGGATCTTAGATAATTTCTTCTCCAACATATTATCTCCTCCCGGTCAATCAAAGGTGATTTTCGGTCTGATTTCTCCCACCGAAAATTTAATTCTTTTAAAACGCCACAATTTATTTCGTCCAATATGAGGCAAATCCGGGTCGTCTCTAACTTCTAGTAAAGTTTTGTTTAGGTTTGGTATTTCTTTTTTGAAACAAAAATCCATGAATTCATTTTTGGCAAATTCGTCAATTTCAATAGGCTTTTTCCCTCTCTTTAAGTGTTTATTTGTGTTTAGGTTAGCTATACCGTGTTTTTTTCTTTCTGATAGAAACCTATATATAGTTGACTCCCCTATGCCAGTCATGTTGGCACAACTTTCGACTATGTTGCGAACAGTGTTTGTGAGATTCTGAGAAACCAGAGCATCGTAAACATTTAGGACAATAGTCTTCTCTCTTGGTGGATAGACAGACTTACTGACTGTACGCAACAGTACAGGTGTAACACTTGATGATGTTGATGATAAAGCCATCACAAACAATCCAACAAAACGAGCACAAGCGAAAGGTACGTATATGTTCGTAGGTATATGGAATAAAAAATCACTCACGCACTGCATGTAATTCGCAAAAGAAATATTCGAGACACTAATTACTGCCGTAGACGCGGAAACACCGACGAGCCATAAATTACATGCGATCAAAAACATATTAAACAAAAAAATTGTTTTCGTTCGTAATAACTTTACCCTTTCAAGTTAAGTTTCGAATATAAACTGAACACACGAAGCACCTGGTCAAAGCCGGCATCTTTATACCCATTATAATAATAAAAATCTGGGGAATTCCATCCTAATTATCTTGCAACGAATAGTACCTTCGGATATGAATTCCAGGTTTTCTAGCCAAGTGATTAAACGCGAAGATTAGTATTTTGAAATATCCAAAGAGATAAGGTATTCTTATTTACAAAATTGTTAATGGTTAAATTCTTATTTTTATTAATATAATATAATAACCAGCATTAGCCGTGAAAGTTTTAATTGTTTTTTGCCAAATATATTAGTATGAAAATATTATTAATATTAATATTAATTTTAATGAATAAACACCTCAGGAACGCCTATGATGATACAAATTTTATGACCGTTTTATGACTTTGAGGCACATTTGGTGCTATCAACAATTTGTGAACGGATAATAACAGACGATATTTTCTTGACGACCAAAACAAAATCAATTAAATCATAACAAAACAAGATATAAACAAATGAAATCGTAGGCTTCCACGGCCAGAGTCAGAATTATAGTTTATTCGTCTTCCGGGTTTGGACCGTGTCATTTGTGAGTGACCCAAAAGTGGGTTCATCTCGACGTTTCGCTACAATTGTATGTAGCTTCTTCAGGAGAACAAAGAAAAGGAAAAAAGAAAACAAAAGAACAGGAAGATGGGTAGTTAGCAACGGTAACTCAGTTACTCAACGCAACCAGAGGCGAATACTAACTACCAAGATGGGCATTTGGTCACAGTAACTCAACTACTCAACGCAGCCAGAGGTGAAAACCAAATGCCAGGACAGGGATTCACGTCCAACAGCTCAGAACACTAACGCGTCGAGAGGCGGGGAGTGAATCCGACGATTACTCCGCTACCGCTCTATTTATAGTCGCGGTGCCTGTCGTGTCGGGACGTATCGGCACACTTCGTGGCGCGAACGTCAAGAAGCGCGCGCTGGCCAATCATGTGGCTGCATCGTGGTGGCGGGACCGGACGGTGGCTCTAGACTGAGATTCCAGATGGGAGACAAGTAGTATCCTTCCTCTCGATTGATATTATGGGGATTTTTTCGGATCTCTAGAGATTCGCGGATTTTCCTGGAATAAGACGTTCGCGCCACGAAGTGTGCCGATACGTCCCGACACGACAGGCACCGCGACTATAAATAGAGCGGTAGCGGAGTAATCGTCGGATTCACTCCCCGCCTCTCGACGCGTTAGTGTTCTGAGCTGTTGGACGTGAATCCCTGTCCAACAGGGATTTGGTTTTCACCTCTGGCTGCGTTGAGTAGTTGAGTTACTGTGACCAAATGCCCATCTTGGTAGTTAGTATTCGCCTCTGGTTGCGTTGAGTAACTGAGTTACCGTTGCTAACTACCCATCTTCCTGTTCTTTTGTTTTCTTTTTTCCTTTTCTTTGTTCTCCTGAAGAAGCTACATACAATTGTAGCGAAACGTCGAGATGAACCCACTTTTGGGTCACTCACAAATGACACGGTCCAAACCCGGAAGACGAATAAACTATAAGATATAAACATTTTTCCACAAATTGAAACAACTTCGTTAAAACCCATTTTTGACAAGTAAGCGACAAACGTTGAAAAGCTATTAGATCAGCAGGACGTCTTAATATTTTTTTTAATTTAGAGTTAGGTCTACCATGACTGCTGCATCGAGAAAAGAAACCAGCGAAACCAGTAGACCTGAACAAGATACCTGAAAATAAATAAAATAAGAATCCTATGAAGAATAATAGGAAAGGGACTGATGAACAAATAATGAAGTAACGGCATCAGAAATACGTGTAGAATAGACAACATAAATGAATGGGTGCAATTTCAAACGGAAGAATCGTGTCATATTAGCACAATCCACGAAAATAAATAGTTACAATAGCTTTATATAAGTAACAAACCGAAAGACGAAGCATAAGTTAACCGAAAAAGAGACACTGACAATATTTCAATAGAATAATAGACAATATTGACACAGAATAAAATTTTCATAAACCAGGTCCATCTCAATCATATAAGTCAACACATATAAGCGTATTCACACGCCAAACTAGCAATAGGCTCCAATCTCAAAGAAACTTCCGCTTTCAAAAACAGCGAGCCCCGATTCACCGTAGAAAAGCTCTTTAATATCGAACAACAAGAGCCATTATGATGAAGGTATATAGACACATACCCCGATTACTCTATGAACAAAAAATCCAAGAATAGGAGGAGGAAGATGTAAATTTTCAAAGGTTTCAAAAAGAAAAAGAAGAAACGTAGAATTGCATTCCTATGCTGATAAAAGAGAGCTTCCTTACATTAAAATTCAAAATCCCCCTCTTAAACTTCTTATTGATACAGGAGCCACTAAATCTTTCCTTAATCCTGATACAGCCAATAAATTCTACAAAAATAATATTAAATATGAACCGCTTGTTACATGAATTTTTCAGAATTATTCAGAAGATTATTGTGTAGAAATTCCAATT